TCAAAAGGGTTGGGTTGGATAATAGGGTCGGGAGAAAGTGTCAATATTTGGACCCAACCATGGATCTCTATGGACAGTCCCACATGTCCTATTGGTCCTCCCACTTTTGGCGTCAAAAGATTTGTGTGTTTCAGATCTTATTGATCATAATGTCAGAGAATGGGATCTTAGTTTGGTAAGAGAGTATCTCCCTATATATGAAGATCAGATTCGTCTTTTACAGCTTGGTACTACCTGTAGAGGTGACAAACAAGTGTGGCTGCCATTAAAGAAAGGTATTTACACAACAAGATCAGGCTATGGAGTTTCGGTGTCACAAGATATCCCGGTAAATCACCTTAATTCAATTGGCAAAAACATGTATGGAGAGTACCAACAATTCCTAAGATTAAGAGCTTTATGTGGAAAGCCTTAGTTGGAGCTTTGTCGGTGAGTATGCTTCTTGTTCAACGGGGTATTGGAGTGGACGCATCTTGTAAATGATGCGGAGCACCATAATCGGTTACACATGTCTTAAGAGATTGCCCTTTTTCCATCTTAGTATGGAGTTCTACCCCCTTGTTGGGTTCGATATCGAGAGATTGAGATATCTTCTCATTCCTCTCTATTTTGAAAGAGACAAAAGTTGCAGTTCCTGTTGGAATTACGACTGCTACGCTTTATTCTTGGATCTTATGGAACTTGTGGACAGCTAGGAACCACTTGTTATTCACTGATAAACGATTTTTTTGAAACTGAAATTGTGACTAAATCGATATGTGAAGCAAAACAATGGCAGATGGCACAATTATCTCTGCCACGACAAGTCCCCCATCTTTAGAAGAACCTCGGATTCGTGAGACCTTCTATGGATTCGTGTGCTATGTGGATGCAGCTTGAAATGATGCGTCCTTCAATTGCGGTATAGGTTGGACGCTCTCTTCCTCCGAGGAGAACTCCCCTGTTTTTATCGTTTCAGATTCATGTCTCAATGTGTCGTCAGCCCTTGTTGCTGAAACCAGAGCTATGAAGACTGCCATTATCTATGCAATAGATATGGGATGCGACAATATTTCGATGCGATCTAACTCTCTTTCTTTGATTCGTCTTCTCAATTCCACCGAGAACCATGTCGAAATGGATGTTCTTCTCAAGACATTAGAGAGTTAGCGACCGCATTTGAATCTATCTTATTTCAATTTGTACCTCGTACGTCAAACTCAACTGTTGATAATCTTGCTAAGAAAACTCTTATAGAGCTTGAGCAAGCTGTAATAGACTTTTAAGGAATGAAAAATTTTCGTTTGTGACAAAAAAAAAAAAATTCTCTACGCATGTTTCATAAAAAATGTTATTCTACTATTTTTATTTTCGTCTCACAACAAACATCTTGTATTTTTAATAATTTTATTTTTAAAACTACTTTTAATCCTACTATTTATCCTATTTATGAGAAAGAAATTTATTTTATGTATTAATAAAAAATAAAGTATAATTCTAATGGTTTTATAGTATAAAAAAAAAAGCTTTGAGAGCT